AGGAGGCTGAGGCAGGAGGATCACTTGAGCCCAAGAGTTTGAGGTTGCTGTGGATTATGATGCCACCGCACTCAGCCCTGGGGCAACAGAGTGAAAACTCTGTCTCGAAAATAATTAACAAATAAAAAGGAAATCATGTCTCCTGCACTGGCACTGATCAACCACTGAGCTAACTACATCTTTCTCCCGCTGTAGGACATATAACTTTGGATCCCAGGACAGCTCATCCCTGCCTGGTCCTCTCTGAGGACCTGAGAAGTGTGACAGTTGGAAATACCTGGCAGGATGTGCCTGGAAGCCCGGGGAGATTTGACTTCAGTGCCACCGTGCTGGGAGTAGAAAGCTTCAGCTCGGGGAGGCACTACTGGGAGGTGGATGTGGAAAAGGCAACTAAGTGGCAACTGGGCATATGCCAAGACCCTGCGCACAGAAGGGGCCCCAGGCCCACTACTTCTGGAGATAAAATTCTCTTCATGGAGGCCGTGATGGGCACAGATTGTACCTTCTGGGTTTTTCCCCCTTTGAAACAAGTGTCCTTGAAAAAGCCCATGCACAAAGTGGGCCTTTTCCTAGACTGTGAACATGGGCACATATCATTCTACAATGTGACCCAGAGAACCCTCATTTATAATTTCTCTCAGCTCTCCTTCCAAGGACCTCTGAGGCCTGTGTTTTCTCTTTGTATCCCAAGTGGAGACACCAGTTCAGACTCTCTCACTGTCTCCTCGGGTCATGTTCCTTCTTCCAGTGACGACTGTTAGCCCTTTCTCTTCCTTTGTGCAATAAGCAAGACTTTGTTAGAGAATTTATATAAAGTCATCCCATGAAACAGTTCTGTGACTTGGAACCCAGTTTAATATTCACGAGGGTTTGCATTCACGTGATTGTGAACACCTGTTTACTGAAAGAGGTTGCATTTAAGCTGAATCAGGCATGATTATAACTGAAAGAATGTACACTAATTAGACCAGATGCATATGCACGGCAGGGTGGGGGCATTAGGGAAGACACGTAGCCTGGGGTCCTTGGAACTAGGTTAAGGACTCTGGGCATATTTCTGAAAGCATTTGCAGAATTAGGTATAATAGGGATTGAGAACAGGACTGTTTTGTTTTGTTTTGTTTGAGAAGGAGTTTCATTCCATTACCCAGACTAGAGTGTCTGGCATCATCATAGTTCACAATCTCAGACTCCTGGGCTCAATCTATCCTCCTGCCTGACCCTCCCGAGTAGCTGGGACTACAGGCACCTGCCACCATGCCCAGCTAGTTTCTCTATTTTTAGTAGAGATAGGGTCTTGCTCTTGTTCAGGCTGGTCTCAAACTGCTGAGATAAAGCACTCCATCCCCCCCACCTTGGCCTCCAAGAATGCTCAGATTACAGGTGTGAGCCTCTGTGCCCAGCCAATAGTGAGATACTGTTAGTAACACTACATACCCAGACTTCTAAACTTTTGCCATTCCAAATAAAAAATAAGAACTTAATTTCACTGGATATTTCCCAGAATTAGGGAAAGTATGAGTATCTTTTTTTTTTTTTAAGAGACAGAGTCTCACTTTATCCCCCTCAGTAGAGTACAGTGGCATCATAGCTCAAAGAAACCTCCATCTCCTGGGCTTAGGTGATTCTCTTGCCTCAGCCTCCCAGTAGCTGGGACTACAGGCACCTGCCAGGATGCCCGGCTATTTCTTTGTTGCAGTTTGGCCAGGGCCGGGTTTGAACCCACCACCCTTCGGTATATGAGGCCGGCGCCCTACTCACTGAGCCACAGGCGCCGCCCAGTGTATTTTTTTAATGATGTTTCCAAATATTTTTTTCTGTTTGTCTTTCTGATAAGAAAAATTAGATTTTCCCCCCATTTTCTTTAATTTTCAGCTTCTAGTTAATATTGCCTGTATAAAAATTAGATTCCTTAAAAAAAGCCTGATAGTTCAATGCTTTGAAACACATAAGTAGTGCTGTAATGATACCCTGTTGTAATGGTATCTTTTTTTCTCTCTCTGTTTAGTCCACTAAGAAATGCTTTAACTTACATCCTTATTCAGGGGTAATTATAACTCTAAGA